TGGCCACAGCCGGTGAACGGATCCATGGACGGGAATTGATTTCACGGAAATTTCGAATCAAACGCAAGTAAGACAACAAAAGAACTACGATTCTGGGAAAGTTTGGGGAAACAAACAAAGGGGAATACCGTTGAGTCTGTCGAGAATTTGGCCCATGGCGATGGCGTGCAGATGATGTAAAGAAGATGGGAAGCCTTATTCTTATTCTCCCCCTGGATGCTAAAGCGAGAAGAAGAAGAGTGGAAAGTGAGGATATGGGGTTGGTCCGTGGTCGTTGTCTGCAAAACAATCATCCGTAGCTTGTCCGTGAGTGAGGCGCGCGGGAGAGAGCCAGAGAAGGAGAGAAAGGCGCCGTTCCTACAAGTCACTGCATCGAGGGGCTCGCTAGCTGTCTGCCACGTTGACGGATTGGATCAAACTACCATAATTGTTTATACTTTATTTATATTTCTTTTTTAGTTTTATTCCCTTCCGTTGTTTCTAAAGTCTTATGCTCCTCTTACCAAAAAAAAAAAGTCTTATGCTCCGCTCCTCCCATTGGTTTGATTTTGTAGAATCAAGCTCATTTTCTCAGCTTGAGTCCAATGGGTTCAGCCAATATAGGAAAATCGGGGAAAAAATCGCAGAATACTCTAATTATTAAAAAAATTCCTAAATACAATATTTATAAAATTATTTCTCAAAGTACAGCAGTTTCAACATCATTGTCGAAGAGTAAGACAGTGATTACAATCACCGTTTTTGTCCAAAACGGTGATTGCATCACCGCTTTTGACTAAAACAGTGATGCTATCACCGTTTTGGACAAAAACGGTGAAGCAATCCCCGCGTTAGTAAAAGGCGGTGATTGTGTGACCGTTGATAAGAGAAACGGTGAAGCCATAAATGACCGTTAATGGAGAAAACGGTGAAGTGGACGCGGATCGCTGACGTGGACGCGCGCGGGCACTTCACCGCCAAAGAGAAAAGCGGTGATAGCCCCATCCGCCACGTCACCGATCCTTGTCGTCCGCGCCCTTCACCGCTGCCGTCCGATGCGGTGAGGCGCGGATTGTGGTTTTTCTCCACGATCCGACGCCTCACAGGTCGCCACGTCAGCGATCCGAGCCATCACCGCTTTCCTCCAACGCGGTGAGTTCACTGCTTTCAAGGAACGCGGTGATTGGTTCCTGGAAATTTCCACCTGCCCTTTCCCCCTATAAATACCACTCCCCCCTCTCATTCCAAACCACACCACCATTTTATACTTCTTTCTCCCTCCATTACTTCACTCTAGTTTCGTTCTAAGTATGCTTTGTGGTTGCGGCTAAGTCCGATCTTCCGCATCAGAAAGAATTACTAGAGTTTTTGTTTTGTCGATACTCTCTCTAGCTTTTCGGCAAAAAATGGACGAAGAGGCTCTGAGAGTACGTAAATTTATTTTATTCTTTTGTGATTTATTTTAAATGGGTGCTAAAATATAAATTGATTTGATTTCATATTTTTTATAGATGGGTGCTGAGATATACGACCCTCGATTGTATATCGATCCTGGCCCAAGGGATCGAAGGTATTTAACCGGGCAAGATCAACATCGCTCCGGTGCAATTTGGAACAATAATCCGATAGACACTAAAATTATTTCATTAGTTTTAAAGTTTTTATTTTGCTTTCTATTGACTGACAACATTGTGTTTTTTGTTTTGTAGGAATCACTTATTCCCATCAGTCATCGAGGGACATGTCGATTGCCACGTTGGCATGCTCGACTGGCGCCCTATCTAGAGAGGACGGGATTGCACATGCCGAGGCACTTCATTAGGCTTGATATTGACAACGATCTGCTGACGGCAATGGCAGAGCGATGGCGCCCCGAGCTGCATACCTTCCACTTTCCCGAGGGTGAAATGACGATCACCCTCAAAGATGTTGCCATCCTCACCGGGCTCCCGATCACTGGAGAAGCCATCATCGACAACTCGAGAAAACCGGAAGATGGTTGGGGGCCGTTGATTCAAGAGCGTTTGGGGTTCAACATGCCGACCACCACGCCCGACGAAAAGCTCTCCAACTCGTCGTTCCTCTCGACTTCTAATCTTTCATACGTCTTAGGAAGGTAATGATATATGTTCCTATTCATTCCTACGATCGATTAACCGCTAGTAGTAACTTTAGATCGTTAAATCTTGAAGTTTAAGGCGATTAAGGATCTTTCTAGGGAGTTCGACGAGGTGATTCAAGGAGACCTCGTTCAAATCGATTCATTGGGGGTCTAAGCACGTCCTGGAGGTAAGGAAACGCGGTACCCTTTGATTTAGATTGAGTTTTCGTATGAGCTTTCTCGTAGTTTCAAATCTGAAGATTTAGTCAGAAATTTCTAGAATAGTATTCTAAGCAATGTTTATTTGTCGGCGAACGAGAGGATAACCTGACGGTTTCTTCCTCTTTTTTTGGCTTGGTAAATTCAGTTTAATAATTTTTTAAATTAGAAGGAGGTCAGTAGAGGCCTGTGAATTAATTATATAAAATTGTATAAGGAGTTTACAAAAAATTGGATAATTTTCCTAGGGAATAGTACTTTTTGCCAATTAGGAAAAATTATGAGTTAGAATTTTCAGAAGGTCGTGCTTAGTCTAAAATTTCCAAAACGTGGAAGTATATAGGAAAAAGGGGATTTTCAAAAGGGGGTTTTAAATCAGCGAGTAGACTGTCTAATAGCGTAGTATGATCTATAGGTTATCGAGGTAGTACGTTGAAGAAGGAGTTCTTCAAGCTAAGGGTCGGAGAATCGTCTTTTCGAGGCGAGTGTAAAGGGGGTAAAATCTTCGTTGATGTCTTTTAGTTTATATCTTTTATTTCAAGTAATGATAGATAATTTGTGAGTTTGCGTGATCATGTGTGTGAGGCATCCCACCGTCTACTTAAGGTGGAGGTACGCGTTGTGCTTGTGTATGAATTCATGTATGGTTGTAATTTATGATTAATGGTAATGGAACCCCCTGCGGATGGGCCACTACTGGACGCGGTAGATGGTCGGGTCACTACTGGATGGCGATACGTAACGTTCCAGTTGGTCGGGCATGGTACTGGATGCAGACCATTGCCGAGTTGGGTATGCAACCAGACGGCGAGGCGTAACGCGGTTGACATACCAAGGTAGGGACACCGGACAGCGAGGTGGTCCCTAGTGTTATGTGTATGAGTTAGGATAGAAGTAAAGAACTTCTATGAGTTAAGGATACAGGTCAAGAAACTTCTATGAGTTAACGTTTGTATAAGTTCTTCAAGGAAAGAAACGCTAATAACGTGTTTTAGTAAGGAGATTGTTTAGGCAAAGACCTTAGTAATTAACAACTAGACTAACCCCTTCTCACTCACCAAGTGTAGAGAGAGGAAGAGATCTTACGCATCACAAGGAAGTTACCCGAGAAGAGCAATCGCGACAAGTTTGAAGATCTCAAAAGGCTCAAGGTAACGAGAAGAGACCTCTTTATCATAGTTGTCTTTATTTCGTGTCTTACGTGTGTACTGGGAAACTCAAGGTTTATATTTAAGTATTTTGGATTGGGATTTGCCCAAGTGTTTAGGGCTTTCGTTTGGGATTTATGAAATGTGATTTGACTTTAAAAATGTGATTCGGGTTGCTCCAGAGTAACGGGTTTTTGGATTAAATTATGGTTTGGTTTTCGAAAAAGATCAGGTCATTTCATAACATGCCATATCAATTTATCCTCTAATCCCATGCGGGGCAAGGGAACCACCGTGATGGCACGAACCGTTTGGTGGAAACATCTGTAGAAGAGATTGTCGACACCAGCTTCCCCCTAGTATCTTTAAACTCCGCCACCTTCGGGTCATTTCCCTCCACAATTACGAGTGGATTGCAAGGAGGAGAATGAGGATGAGTACACAGAGCGCAGTTGGAATATTGTATAGAGGCCTGGAGCTCATTCCCAATCTGCCATCGTAGTCCTCATTAGAGGAAGAGACGGTAGAATACTCTATCATCCCCACGATGGGCGAGACCACGCAGTCCCTGTTAGCAACGTGCCATTCGGAAAGCATTTGCCTTTATGAATCAGGGCCAAGAGAGAATCAGGTTTGTTAAGAATCCGCCATCCAATCTTAGCTATGAGGGCTTGATTAAAATGCTCGAACTGCCAAAATCTCATCCCCCCATCATGTTTACTCGTACACAACTTCCGCCAGGAAATCCACCTAATCTGAGGGACCCACTTCCACCCCCACCAAAATTTGGCCACATGTTTATCCAGAATGCGGCAGAGGAAGAGAGGGAGTTTAAAGCATGACATAACATAAAGCGACAAAGAGAACGCAATTGATTTAATCAACGTCTCCTTAGCCTCCAATGAAAGCACCTTCTGTTTTCATCCCTGTAACCGTTCCAAAAATTCTCCTCCAGTTAACGGAAAGTAGCCATCTTGGACTTGGCAATCAAGGTAAGTAAGCCCAAATATTTATCATGCACTTCTACCGATCCTACGCCAAGACGAAGAGCAAGGATTTCTTGATCCACAGGAAGAATATTCTTACTAAAGCACACTGCGGATTTGTTCAGGTTGACCATTTGCCACTAAGCTCCTCATATTCGTTCAAGACCTCCAACACATTTTCACATTCTTGCATCAATCCTCTGAGGAATAAATATGAATCATCTGCAAAGAAAAGATGTGAAACACGTGGGGCTTTGGGACTAACATGTATGCTTGCTAGCTTCCGCTCCTCAATGGCCTTACATAAGAGCACCACAAACCCCTCTATGCAGATGACAAAGGGGAGGGGAGACAAAGGATTGCCCTGTCAAAGTTCCCGCGTCGAGCTAAAATAACCAGCTGATGTGCCATTCATAAGAATAGAAAATGAAGTGGAACGCAAACACTCCTCAACCATCATACCCAAGTCGAATTAAACCCCATTTTTTTCTAAAACCGCAAGTAAGAATGGCCATTTGAATCTATCATACGCTTTTTCCATATCAACCTTCAGATCCATATAACCCTTCTTACCCTTAGTCTTTATCTTAAGGTAATACATCGGTCCGTGTCCAATGAGAACATTATGCACTATCTATCTTTCACGAATAAATGCATTCTGCCCCGGTGAGATTATCTATGGGAGAAACCGAGCCAATCGTTCAGACATTAGTTTGGCAATGATTTTGTATACAGATTGGCATAAACTTATAGGTCTCAACTAGCGCATATGCTCCATATTATCCATTTTGGTAATAAGAGTTAGCCAAGTGTGGTAAGTTTCGTAACATTGAAAAAGGAGCAGACAACTTCCACCACTAACTCACCAACGATATCACCTTTTTAAGCCACCTGACTCGAGATTTCTGTTGCTAGTAGATCTCTTCAGTCTCCCACTAGCGACTAAGCTCCATCTCGAGGTCTCGAACTCTATCCCAATCAATAGGATTAAGGTGATCTACCTACTCAATCTTAGTCTGGAGAATTTTGATGTTTCGTAGGGAATTAGTAGTACCAGTCCTACTCCATTCATATAGGAGATGATGACGGGTTTTAATCGAGCCTATAGCCTATACATGGGGGATCCCTGGACAACCTCATTCCACACAAACACAACCATTTCCCTAACTTCAGGATTCTCCGCCAACGTGCATCAAACCTGATAGAGGACGACTTTGTCGCGTGAAAGGCTTATCTGATAAGAGAAGACTTGTATGGTCCAACCCTTGATCCGTATCATGCTTCACCAATGACTCAGAGAACTGGTATATTCAAGACTGAGAGCACAAGGCCCGTTCAAGTCATTCCTGAACACAGGCCGGCCCCATCCGCTTATTGGTCGAAGTGAATTGATCCCCCTGGAAACCCACATCATGTAGTCCTAGATCATTCACAAAATTCCTAATCACAACGGAGCAAGCCGGGTTCCAAGACTCCTCCCACCATCTTTCTCATTTCCCGATAGATTGGTATTAAAATCACCTATCATCACATAGAGTAATTGGATTTCTTTGCTTAGATTCTGTAAATGGATCAATTGCGTCGCCCGAATATCATTATTGCAACTAATATACACACCCACAACCACATAAGAAATATCATTCTCATAACGAACACAGATATGACAACTAGAATGACTCAACACCAGAGCGTCAACTCCGGGGGACCAACCTACAACAAGACCACTAGACGCATCAACCGCGTCAACAAAAAAATAATTGGACAAATCAAAACCTAACCCTCACATCCTACGAGACACTACCCTACACTTGATCTTGTTTCCGAAAGGAAAACTAGATTAGGCTTAGTATAATGAAGTAAAACTACAGTAGTACGAAATGTGAGGGTTGGTCCAATCTCTCTCAGATTCCAAGCCAACATCCTCATTTATCCACATGGGACCATTCAGGGCTGGCTACCTCCACCTCTTCAGTCTCTTCTTCAACTTCATCAAATTGTCGTTTGGGACATGGGTCCTCCCTCAAATCACCTTCCAGTTCGTGAAAAGCCCGTTCCTCGATTCCACCACCATATGGCCTTTATTAGAACCATACTCGTTTAGATGCAGGGTCTTAGATAGCCGACCATCTTGGGGTTCTTCCGAACTCACATGTCCAAATCTAGTAGCCTTTGTGAGCTTTATCGTTGCATTATATTCAAAGGCTTCCACAACACGCCTAACATGGCCATTCCCTAGTACATCAAAGTCGAGACTCACACCAAGGGCGCAATGGCTCTTTAACTCAAAGTTATGGCCATCGGTCTCCATATCAGGACGGAAAACATACCCATCAGAAACCATCTTCTTAGAGTCATCCTCCACATGCACCGACATGTCCACCTGGACCTTTCTCGTAAGAAAGGTTTAAGGAGAGGGACAAGATAGGAGGTCATCATTAGCCTCATCAAAACAACATTACTGAATGCTCCATCTTAGATTTACAGCTCAGATTGATCCTTCTTGTCTTGGTAGTAGTTCTTCTCCCTTTCTTCTCGCGCCCCGACATCTTAGCCTTCCCCTGCCTTTACGCGGGGATGCGCCCATTTCCATCATTCGTGTCAGCATCGCCAGTGTCTAGCCCAATTCCCAAATGGTCCATCTTCATTGGTCTTACTTTGTGTTACATCCGTCCATAGCAGCCCTGGACTTCCATGCCCGAGGAGTTACCACCCATCCTTTTCCCTTGCGGATCAAGGGAATGGTGTCCTTGTCAAGTCCATTGGACTCCTTGTGTAGCTGAACCATCTAGTCCTTCTCTTCTTTCCTCCGCGACACCCTTTGAAGCTTTGATGATTTAGCCACCATGAAGCCACGAGGACTTCTTCCTTCGCTCTTCTTGTCCTCCCTGTGCTTTGCCTGGTATATGGAGTCCCCTATTTGCAGCGATCTCCTGGTTGAGGCATCTGTATGCTTCATAGGAGGTGTCTTCTTGGACATCTCTTTTTGCTTCTGCTGCTTACTACTTTGCCATGTACTCCTCTTTCCAGCAGCCTCCAGATTGATCCAAACTGACCTAGAGACACCATAGAATGATCGATTGTCATCCTCTTCTCCATAGAGCTTCTCCCCCAAGTACTTTGGTAGACATATGTGCCCCAAACCACTCTTTCCCTTGTTGTGGATCAAATGCAAATGTCTGAAAGCAATGTCCCACACGGCCACATTCGAAACAAATGTTGGGTAGAAACTCATACTTCAAGCTGACCTAGAAACAAAGTTTCCTCATTCAGGGCCATGATCTGAGAGCAAAAAGGTTTGGTGAAATCGATGATAACTTTCACCATAATTTGCTTCACGGATTTCAGTCGTCGATGGCATCATATCCCCAAACAACCTACCAATGAGAGTGTGGGAAGCTCGGAAGTGGGAGGATTGAACCTCTTCCAACTTGAATTGTACAATCTGATTTTTGACCATGTGGGCTATACTTTCCTTCGGGATTACTCTAGTGTTTGAGCTAGAAACCTGATCATCCATCAAAACACCGAGGTTAAATGACAAAAGCAATGAATTACTTGTAAATTCCCAAACACGGATATTAGTGCACCCTACAGTAACCAAAGTTTGCAACCCAAGAAAGTGAGGATACCAAAAATTCACACACATGCGCAGACAATCAAAACGACCAAAGTCAACATTTAAACCCTTGAAGGATATATAGGTTTTCACGTAGTAAGGTTCAAAACTCCCCTTTGACCCGTTGTATAAATAAAACATCGGCGACATCCCCATAATAGAACGGACGGAGGCCACCGGAGGGATGAGGGACAGAATCCAAGGTTTTAATCCTCCCAACAAAAATAAGGGACGAACGCAGGTCAGGGAACTTGAAATTCTGGAACCAGAAGGCATCACAGAGTTCCGAAGACCTGTACTTGAACTTCGGGTTCTTCGGTGCAACGTTGCTCGAGTGAAGATTCATCCCGCCTGTCCCTTATTAACGTTAAACTAATCAAGAAACCAACGGTCTATAGGGATTGGCGAGAGTAACTCATCATCGCAGGAGAGTAGTTTTCCACGAGCGAACATAGGCTTGTACAGACCCGGTCTCTTGAGGCTATAGGTTGTGATTCCTCTGCTAGAGAACTCAACCTCGCTTACACTAGTCACCACGGAATCAGAAATACTTGCCTGATCAATCACACGACTAGGAGCAGGGGGTTCGTAATCAACAAAGGGCGCATAATAATCATAGCTAATTCAGAAGGAAAATAGTTAATCGAATGACAACTCTTACCTTATCTTCGTATTGGGTGCGAGGTCCAATTCACAGTTGCTCCGCTCAATTCTCTTCGATATTTTGTTATGAGAATACTGGGCAGGGAGCACCGAAATTTATAACCCGCAGAGTCCCACTTCAAGGGATCTATATCTTTCCCACAACTGTTTCTGATACGGAAAGGATAATCCTGTATCCAAAAAATCTTATGGAGAACGGGCTCCTCTATTGTCGCCGAAAAAACAGGGGCATATTCCCTATGATCTCGGTTTGCTGCAATTAGAGAGAGAAATAGACTAATCCTTCCATCCTCCACCGGATCCTTCCACTGTGGCAACCTGCGACCGTGCACCAAACCCGTATGGACTCGTTAGAATCCTAGTTCTGAGGGTCATAAATGTATGCCCTATTTCCGGCGCCCCTGACTCCGCCTGAACGTGAGACGACGGATAATTTAGGGAGAAGGATGCGGTTTGTAACTTGTAAGTGGGGAGGGAGGGGCGACAGAGTTTTGATGAAAAAAGAAGGTGGAATTATTGTGGGTGGAGAAGGAAGAAAAGGATAAAGAAAGTACAAGAAAAATTAATATGCTTAAATATACGACTGAGAATTCAATCAAATTTTTTGGATAAATCGGAACCTAATTGTATAAACCGGTCCTATTACAACCAAAAATCATATTCAACTCGGTTTGATTCAAATTCCAATTGTGAGATAGACGAGAAAACCAAACCAAGTTCATTCTGGTTTAAAACACAACTAGGTCAATCCAATTTAGTACAACCCATCTCATAGCCCACTACCCTCGACCAAGTCCAAAAGCCCGAAACCTAGCTTAGCCCAACCCAGAGAACACTCCCTCAACCCACACCCCTCCCCTCCGCCCACCCCTTAAGCCCAAGCCTAAAACCTAACTCACCCACTTAGCCCAACTCCACTACCCCACAAGTATGTAAGTATGAGTAGTAGTCTCTAAAAGCAGTTTAAACTTTTATAGTGCACATTGAGTGGGCTTTTTAAATTCAAAGGTAACTGTCACGATCATGAGGTTTGTTCACTATAAACTATAGTCAACAATAAGAAATATCAATGTAGTTAAAAGCTATAGCTTAAACTTAAAAAATTAAGCTTCTACATTTTTTGTAAACTCTTTTCGCATCATAAGCTTAATATAAGCTATTTAGGAGCTCTAAAATACTTAATAGCTAGCTTTTAGCACGCTTTTAAGAGCTTTCTAACGATCAGGTCTAAGGGGCATCTGGTTGTTTGGCAAAAAGTGGGTTGATCAAGTAGCTTTTCGGGTAAAAGAAGGTAAAGTGATCATATGGTTGTGCTGCAATATTCTTCTCATGGATGATGCTTGATGTAGTTTTTGGGAGCGTGTTGTTAATGGTAGTGACAATTATGATCATGGTGGCGATGACAATGACTTTTTGGTAAAATGTCACTTTACCCTTTGTTTATAATATAAAAAACAACACATATAAAAATGTAGGGATATAGTTGGAAGAAAAATAAAACTCAACAATCTCAATCAAACAATTTCAACGAAAGTTTGAGATTTAACTGTCACTCATTTTGAGTGATAGTTTGTAGGCTTAATACATCTGTATAGCCAAAACTTACGCGTTTGTTACGATAATAGCCAATTTTGGTGAAATACCACTTATAGCCAGATTTTGTAGTTGTTGTAAGACAAATCTAGCCATTTTTGTTCGATTCTTTAACGGTGTTACCAACACCGTCAACTTCTGTAATAGTTCCCGACTAGGCTCTCACTAACCGCACACATAAGCACCAAATAAGCCAAAGTGACATGTCATATATTAACTTTATTTAATAATTACACATTATGCCACGACATATCAAATTAAACAAATATTATTTATTAAAAATATTTCTAGACAATTATTAATTTCTTCCCCTGAATTTAGGAATTTCTGCATTCACCCAGATCTGTAATCCCCGCAAACCCAAATAGGCAAAGAAGAAAAACCCCAAATAGATGAAGAAGAATCCAAACTCAGAGGCCTACAGCCCAAATCAACGAAGAAGAGCCCATAACTCTAATACTGATTCTTCACCTTCTTCGTTCTTCCCTAATCACATTACTAGTTTTGTACCCGCCCGATGGGCGCGAGTGTCATTTGTTTGTACTTTTCCTTATATTTTTTGTCATTTTTCCAATGGTATCAGATTCCTACTTTTCATATTTATTTATTATTGTTACCTATTATCACTGACTTATCTGATATGAGGGTCGCTACATTTACTCTAGGTTTTAATGATGATTAACAATAAAGTCAAACAACGCTGTAACTTCATCGCCGCTTGGATAATATTATTCATGACCATCAGATCTTTGATTGACCAACAATTGTCAACTTCATAAGTTGTACATGGTTTAAGCTCGTGTACGCCACCTTACCGTACTCCTATAGAATTGGTATTTAGACCATGTATTAACGGAGCTTGGCACATGATGCTATACCATATTCTCTAATAGGTGAAACACAGTCTCTAATTCTCTAATCCAAATCGTATGATTCATTTAATGAAAAATAATAACCACCGATTCTTATTTGTCAATATCTATTAACATACAACTAATAGATATGAATGAAGGTGCATATTACACCTCGAGTGTATTCTAACCTTTTCCACCATTGTATCAAAGTACAACCAAACTATTCTGCTATGCTTCTTACCTTCAACATTGTATGAATGATATCAAAGCAAATGTTAGTTATGGAGACACTTTGTCTTCACTTCACATTATCATCCAATATTAAATATGTGACTGACTGTAACTGGTATTGTGTGATAACTTAATACAAACATAAAGGCTCTCTGTTGTGCAGTCAGTATAGTAACTGAATTTACAGGACATCGACATGATATGATCATGCGTTGGTTTTATAGGACACCGGTCCGGGTACATCCCACCCTGGTATACATGACATCGGTTAGGGTATGACCCGCAGTGGATTTATAGGACACCAGTCTAGGTACGATCTTTGGTGGTATGCATGACATCTACTATACTACCCGAGGAGTGTATGACTTGGCAAATTAAGATGTAAACTGCAATGAACCTAACCATGCATGTGATTGAATCCTTGTATAACTATTACTTGTGGTTAAGTGACGACTTTCTATGATGTGATGTATGAAATGTGCATGTCGATGATGATGGTTTTCTATAGTGTTTTATACAATGATTTAAGATTGGATGATATGATGTTTTGCTATATTGGGACAAGGGTTACATGGTAATGCCAGTATGATGTGATATTTAATGCATACATGTTTAAACATTGAGTAATCAAGAGACTGGGTAATGGTCCTTATGTTGTGATGTATGAATTCTTTGAGTTTGAGATGATGAATGTGATATGGCATGTTGTGATGAATGGATTTTTATTTGAATGAATAAGATATAACATATTTGATGTATCTTGACAGTTAAGTCAGTAAGGCCTGAGAGGTGGGTGACGGGAAACTGAATACTCTATGTTCTGTCATGGTCAATGGGAGGGTCAATAAGTCATTTTGAACTATACTCTTAAAGGTAATGGAGAAGATATAGATCATTATCTTATGAGTAAGGTTGTCTAGCGAGTATAACTGGTTACTAAAAATAGTAAGAGTAATATATGTATTAGGGTGTCCCATTAAGTAAGGATTAAATTATTATTTACATATCAACCATCATATATCCAATAGCTTAAGATTCGTTTATAAATATTGCTTAACTTAGGTGTTATTCATCTGAATATGACTCAAAGTTGCACATCTACACTCATGTTGGAAAAAGAAAGGAATTTATGTCAAACAATAAAAAGAGAAAAGAAAGGAATTATAATTACAATAGGAAAAAAGTAAAGACAATGTGTTTTATAATTGTGCATGGAATAATATTTAACGACGTACAAAAAATGAAAAGAAAAAGAAGTTCGAATAACATAAAAGAAAAGATAATGATATCATTTTAATATGCGAGAAATGTCAAATTCAATCCTAAAATGACAAATGCATTATGTATATGTACATGAATTGTTTTTAACATCTTTCACCAATTGGTTACAAACATATTTAAACCATATAACCATAATTCGGTTTTGAAAAATATACAAAAAAAAAAATTGGTGACCATTGGTGTCTAATGATATTCTTAAACACATGAAATTTTGTGTATATATCACTGTAGCATATGACTGACCTATGTTGCTATATATCATATGTTTATAATAAGTATTTTCTAACAAATTGCAGCATATTTACATTGGTTCACATATTTATAGTAGTTCGTACAAACAAATTGTTAAATTCTTCGTGTTCTAGAATGCGGAAGAAGATTATTCTTTACTTTTCAGTTTTCAATTTTAAAAGAAAATCACATATCAAATATATAAAAATTTTATAATTGTGTACCAACTAAATTTATGCTTTTCGAATTTTTTTAATTATTTTGTGAAATTATAAACAATTATGAAAACATATTGTAAACTTAAAATAATTTATTTGTAAATGTTAATGATTTTCTTATCAATGCTAAAAAAATAGAATATAAAATTTTAACCGTGATAGCTATTTTGCTGGTTAAAAAATAGTTGTGATTAATTGCATGAAAGATATTTTATTCTATTGGTTAAAAAATTGAAATGATTACCGTTTGACCTTCTAGGTTGCATGATTAAATCTTAGTTATGGTAATTGATATATTTGTTTTGTTGTGGTTAATAGCATCAAATATACATTATCTTGGTGGTTGAACATTTGAAATGATGATAGTTTGACCTCAAACTTGCTCCACAGCGGTCATAATATAAATTAAGATAAGATTGGATTAAGAAGCTTAAGATTTGTTTACAAATATTGCTTAACTTAGGTGTTATTCATCTGAATATGACTCAAAGTTGCACAACTACACTCTTGTAGGAAAAAGAAAGGAATTTATGTCAAACAATAAAAAGAGAAAGGAAAAGAATTATAATTACAATAGGATAAAAGTAAAGACAATGTGTTTTATAATTGCGCATGGAAGAATATTTAACAACTTACGAAAAATGAAAAGAGAAAGAAGTTGGAATAACATAAAAGAAAAGATAATGATATCATTTTAATATGCGAGAAATGTCAAATTCAATCCTAAAAATGACAAATGCATTATGTATATGTACATGAATTGTTTTTAACATCTTTCACCAATTGGTAACAAACATATTTAAACCATATAACCATAATTCGGTTTTGAAAAATATACAAAAAAATTTGGTGACCAATGGTGTCTAATGATATTCTTAAACGCATGAAATTTTGTGTATATATCACTGTAGCATATGACTGAACTATGTTGATATATATCATATATTTATAATAAGTATTTTCTAACAAATTGCAGCATATCTACATTGGTTCACATATTTATAGTAGTTCGTACAAACAAATTGTTAAATTCTTCGTGTTCTAGAATGCGAAAGAAGATTATTCTTTACTTTTCAGTTTTCAAGTTTAAAAGAAAATCACATATCAAATTATATAAAATTTTATAATTGTGTACCAACTAAATTTATGCTTTTTGGATTTTTTTAATTATTTTTAAGAAATTATAAAAAATTATGAAACATATTGTAAACTTAAAATAATTTATTTGTAAATGTTAATGATTTTCTTATCAATTGTAAAAAAATAGAATATAAAATTTTAACCGTGATAACTATTTTGCTAGTTAAAAATAGTTGTGATTAATTGCAAGAAAGATATTTTATTCTATTGGTTAAAAATTGAAATGATTACCATTTGAGCTTCTAGGTTGCATGATTAAATCTTAGTTATGGTAATTGATATACTTGTTTTGTTGTGGTTAATAGCATCAAATATACTTTATCTTGGTGGTTGAACATTTGAAATGATGATAGTTTGACCTCAAACTTGCTCCACAACGGCCATAATATAAGTTAAGATAAGATTGGATTAAGAAGCTTAAGATTTGTTTACAAATCTTGCTTAACTTAGGTGTTATTCATCTGAATATGACTCAAAGTTGCACATATACACTCATGTAGGAAAAAGAAATGAATTTATGTCAAACAATAAAAAGAGAAAAGAAAGAAATTATTATTACATTAGCAACAAAGTAAAGACAATGTGTTTTATAATTGTGCATGGAAGAATATTTAACGACGTACGAAAAATGAAAAGAGAAAGAAGTTTGAATACCATAAAAGAAAAGATGATTATATCATTTTAATATGCGAGATATGCCAAATTCAATCCTAAAAATGACAAATGCATTATGTATATGTACATGACGTTTTTTAACATCTTTCACCAATTGGTCACAAAGATATTTAAACCATATAACCATAATTCGGTTTTGAAAAATATACAAAAAAAATTGGTGACTATTGGTGTCTAGTGATATTCTTAAACACATGAAATTTTGTGTATATATCACTGTAGCATATGACTGAACTATTTTGATATATATAATATATTTATAGTAAGTATTTTCTAAAAAGTTGCAACATATCTACATTTGTTCACATATTTATAGTAGTTCGTACAAACAAAATGTTAAATTCTTCGCGTTCTAGAATGCGGAAGAAGATTATTCTTTACTTTTCATTTTTTCAATTTTAAAAGAAAATCACATGTCAAATTATGTAAAAGTTTATAATTGTGTACCAACTAAATTTATGCTTTTCAGATTTTTTTTTAATTATTTTTAAGAAATTATAAACAATTATGAAACATATTGTAAACTAAAAATAATTTTTTTTATGTTAATGATTTTCTTATCAATGCTAAAAAATAGAATATAAAATTTTAACCGTGATAGCTATCCTATTGGTTGAAAAATAGGTGTGATTAATTGCATAAAAGATATTTTATTCTATTGGTTAAAAAAAATGAAATGATTACAGTTTGAACTTCTAGGTTGCATGATTAAATCTTAGTTATGGTGATTGATATACATGTTTTGTTGTGGTTAATAGCATCAAATATATTTCAGGACTTTGCTACGGTGACATGCATGTCACGGTGACATGCACTTTTCGGTCGACCTCATATAGGATCAGGTCGACCTAATCAGTTGTTTCAGTGTAAAAACAGTTTCATGGTGCCTACTTTGGAGATTCATATCTTACAATTGGCTAGATGGAAATTGGAGATTAAAGGCTTGTTTTGAAGCTGAAGTGTCCATCGACACATTAAAGTACTTGGGAGCTCAATAGAAAGTCCAGAAGACCTTTTTTGAATCTGACCAAAAGGCTATGCCAAAATTGGGAAACTGCCTGAAAACGGCTAAGTCTGGCAACGTGTTTGTCAAGCCTACTTTGGAGCTCAATTTGAGAATCATGGATGCGAGTCAAGTCCAGGGGCCTCTACCACGTTAAATTACGTATTTTTTTATACAAAGGCAAGGCATTGGATGAAAGATTCAATATCTTTAAGGCTTCAAATAAAAGGCTCGAAGTTGCTACGAAGGCTGTTTTTCTGGCAGCTTGCTTGTGCTCAAAGTATGCCAGAAAAACAGCCTTCGTAGCAATTTCGACCCTTTTGTTTGAAGCCTTAAAGATATCCAATCATTCATCCAATTCCTTGAATTTGTATAAAAACATACCTAATTTAACGTGGTAGAGGCTCCTGGACTCGACTCGCATTCATGCTTCTCGAATTGAGCTCAAAAATAGACTTCACAAACACGTTTCCAGACTTAGCCATTTCTAGGCAGTTTCCCAGTTTTGGCATAGCCTTTTGATGAGGTTCAAAAATGGTCTTCTGGACTTCCTATCGAGCTATCAATCACTTCAATATGTAGAGGGACACTCCAGCTTCAAAACAAGTCATTAGTCTTCAATTTCCATCTAGCCAATTGTATTATATGAATATCCAAAGTAAGCACCGTGAACTGTTTTTACACTGAAACAACAGATTAGGTCGACCGGATCCTATAT